GTGCCTTAGTGGGCAACTCTGATTCTTACTCGGGCAGAACTTCTGGGTTAGCACCTAGAGACAGTGTGGATGGACCTCTGGGCTCATTACAGTATGGCCTGTGCTTCACTCTCCTTGTGACTCCTGGGTCTTGCATATAGTAACCAACAACTGGAGATGTGGCGATATAGCTTCTCAAGGTCTTTGAGTTTCCATTTAATTACTTGATTAAATGTAAACAAATAGTATAGACTTGCTTCAGCTCTTTGTGGCATGACTATGATCAGAGAAAGGTCCTAGTGTTGTTGCAGATGATGATGATGATCACAGCACATTCCTGTAGCGTGCTGGCACTGTGCTGTATTCTATAAATATTGGTTTATTTGTATGGACTCCTAGGAGTGAGCACTAGTCTTGGGGTCATCTTGCATACTGGAAGATTGAAGTCTCAGGGTTACATGACTGGAAGTGTTGGCTCTATGATCTGAACCCCTGTCTCATTTCAAAGCCAGCCTGTAGGGGAGATATGGGAATAAATGAAAATTCCAGAAATGGTGATAAGGGCTCAATGGCTGAGAGGTGTAGTACTCTGGTAGTTGAAAGTTGGTTTTCACAATAATTCAGTGAAACAATGACTTCCTCTTCATTTTACACATAAAAAAACGAGCTCAGGACAGTGATTTGCTTGAAGTCTTTTGGACCAGACCTAGAAACTGTTTTTTTTCTCAGTACAGTCATGTGTCTTTTAATGATGGGGCTATGTTCTAAGAAATGTGTCATTAGGTGATCTTGTTGTTTGTGAATATCATAGAGTGTAATTACACAAACCTATTAATAGATGGGCTAGCCTGATGCTCACCTAGAGGCTCTGTGCTACAGCCTCTTGGGCCTGCTGTTATATACGCTGTCCACCTTAGACTGCCTTTAGCATCTGAAAGGTTGTTAAGCAATGCATGACAATATACCATGTTTGAAAAACATTTAAGATAAATGGCAGGTAAATTGCCTTAGAAGTCTTACTCTAAGGTCTAGGTTTAGTTCTGAAGTCATCATAAGAGCATTGAAAATACACATAGAAGGCCTCCTCCCTGGTGGCGCAAGGGGTTAAGCACCACACTGTGAAGCAATCTGCAGCCTCTGCAGCCTGAGCTCAATCCCAGGCCGGCTAGAGAGCAGCCCACACGGTGAAGCCGGCCTCTCCTGTCTCACCCGCTGCTCCCCTCAGCAGTGTATTTCAGCCATTCTGCCTGTTATCCCAGCTCTTGTATGCATAGATAAATAAATCTTTTTTTTTTTTTTTAAAAGAAAATATACCTTGAGACTCCCTGCGTACCAGGATCACTGAAGTTTTTTGGTCAAGAGTCTAGTGCTGCCAAAAGGCCATGTCTGGTTCTGCTTGAGGCAGCTGTTCTCAGTGCAGTAAAATCCCATTACAATTTGTTTTTGATAAGTGATGTGTGTGTGTGGACCTTTTTGTTGCTAGGACTGGAGAGTAGAAAGGGAATATATCATCTGTCCATTTCCTAAGGAAGTACCATTGAAGTCTGTCTTAAGAGGAAAAACCTGTCTTTCCTTAAAATGAAGCTTGCCCATGGGGTTTTAGTTGATAGTACAAGTGATAGTTTCTCTGATTTCAGCCTTAGTAGCATTTTACCTTTACGGGCTCGAATGCCAGGCGCTTGAACTGAGAGGTGTAGTAGTTGAGTTGCCCTGACTAGTGTTCGTTTCTTAACATGATATATTTAATCATAGCTCTCCAGGTGGTTAGGCAAACATTCTAAGAACTTTCTTAGAGGTCAGTTTATTGCCTCAGAGAAGGAAGTTGGTATTTGGGGGCAATGTGTGGGAGGACGAGAATAGAGATGAAAGCTTTGCTGGGAACATGTTTTGAGAAATAACTCATCAGAAGAGTGGTTTAGGTAATTTTATATGTTGGTTATATATAAATACTGACAATGGTGTTTGCTGCTTTATGATCAGAATGAAGTTGTATAAACTCCTTAGGAGGCCTTTCTAGCCCCACTTAGCTCTCAGGATCTTCCTTACACAGAATTCCTTTCAGGTTGGGCATTTTGTTTTCGCTTGGTTGCTTCTGCTATTGGGGAGGTCATTCTGTTTTTTCTGTCTCTTGGATGTTAAATATATACTCCTTATTTGGGGCTGCAGTCAGCTTCCCTTCACCTCTTCCCAAAATTCTGGGTCTAGGACATGAAACCACACTGAGCAGATGTGCTCCCATGTGCCAGGTTGAGGTCTCCTTCACTTGTGAAAGGATTTGCTCTCCCAACTAAACACTCCTGTCTTCTACGGCACTCAGAAGTATAGTCCTGTGCTCACCTTTCTCACCCGCTTTGTTCTCCACTGTGCATGGTGCTGTCATGGGCAGTTACTTGCACAGTGTGTTCTGTGCTCCTGTGGCCTGTGCCCTGCAGTCCACACGTGTCACACTGGCTCAGTTGGCTCTGACCATCAGGCTGGCTCTGCTGTTGCTTCTTGTTTTGTTTTCTTTTAGCCTAAAAGACTTCACCTTTATTTACTTTTTTTTTTTTAAAGATTTATTTATGCATACAAGAACTGGGGTGCAGGCCAGAGGTGTAGGGGGTGAGAGGATTCACCAGAGACAGAGTGGGGAACAGAACAGGCAGACTGACTGAAATACACTGCTGGGGGGAGCAGGGGGCAAGACAGGGGAGGTCTGCTACGCCATGTGGGCAGCTCCCTGGCAGGGGATTGAACTCATGCTTCAGTGGCTGCCAATAGCTTCATAGTGCTGAGACTTAACCCCTTGCACCACCAGGGAGGCCAAGATTTCACCTTCAGATATAACTTTGTGAGTTTCATTTTCCTAGCTATGTAGTTACTTGGACTCTTTCTTTTAACCCCTTTCTCATCCGGGGCTGCCGCCATTTCTTGTATGGACTTTTTTTGGAATGAACTTTCCAGTTAGGTGCCTGACGAATCTTCTGCTTCCTTTTCACTTTGGCACATCATGTTTGGGTTGTTGATATACTTAGTTATGCACACAGGCTGAACCCCACAGAGCAGTGAGTGTGGCAGGTGGGGTTTCCAGTTCCTGGAGACTTGTCTTTGCAGACTATCTCTTCCCACTCCCTTTTGTGTTCTGCTGATGAAAAAACAAAGGAAGTTTTACCAAAAAAACCCTTTGACAAAGAGAACTGCTCTCCTTTGAAATGTTCAGGAGTTCTTCAAACCTCTGTATGTAGCCAGTCTTTTATAGCTGCCTCTTTCAAGTGCCAGTTCAAATTTCATTTTCAAGAATGCATGTCTAGCTCCACCAGGCGGTTAGTCATTGTCTTTGCTCCATTTGGTCATGTGGTTTTCTCAGTTTCTGTGAACACATCCCCATTACTTTGTGTCCCTCCAGCTGTGTCTGCTTTCATGGGCGTCCTGCAGGGACATCTGCTGACCTACACGTGTCACATACTGTTTTTTCTGTGTGTGTCATTATAGTCTGTATGCATTAGTTGTCTGTAGTGTTACACTGTGTGTTAGATGTCTGTAGCATTGTATACTGTGTGTGTTACATGTCTGTAGGATTATTATTTTTTCTTTGATTTACATGTTTAAGTAATATGCAGCATGTCATTTCTTAGGTATCTATGGGGTTTTCATCTCAGACTTGGGCAAAACGTTTCCTCTTTACAGTAGAAATTGTCATATCTGCTGGAGTCATCTATGTGTAATCTGGTATAATTTGTTGTTTCTTAATTGAATCTTGGGTTAGAGGTGAGGTGTGAAGCTGAGGGGTTTACCCCCATTTTCCAGTTCCCAAATCACGGAAACTATAGAAATGTTCAAGAAATGTAGGCACTCACAAGACAGTTTACAAAAGTACATACACACACAACATAATATTTGGTGTTAGAAATTACAATTTAGTGAACCATTGTACTTTAAAAAAAATTTATACTACCCCTGTACAATGTAGCAGTCATGAATTTTTATTTGATATACATCTTTTTAAGTAAATTTCAAAGCCACAGAATAGTTTTGTTAAAATATCATTGGTTTTTCTCTTTATTTTTTGATGGTTCAGATTATACCTACTTTTTAGTATTGAAAATTAAGTTATACATATTTCACATATCATATTTTCCCTTTTGAATTGCTGTGTTTCCATAGAATGGATTTCTAGAAGTGGATTTACTTTCTGAAGGGGGATTTTTATATATACACCATTTGTTTTAGATGGTATTCTCAGTCATGTTGCTATCAGCCTTGTAAGAATGTGTCTCACACTATTGATACAAACCTGTCAAGGTTCATGTTTTTGTTGTTGTTCTTGGTTAACTTAAATTTTCAAAATAAGGCAACTCCTTGTGTTTCTTTTGTCCCAGGTGACACTCAGCCTTTCTCTAGCTTTTCCTAAACCTGTTTCTGTGCCTGTGGCATTTATTCAGATCCTTTCTTCATTCGCACAGTAGATGAAATGCCACCCAGCTGGTTCTGAGCACACACACACTTCACACACTGCCTTCAGAGTGAATTGTGTGATCTTGTGCTTTTGTTGGTAACCTAGTTTATGTGCAAAAACTCAATAGGTTTTTTTTATAAAAGGGCTTTCCACTGGAACACTGAGAATTGTTATTCTATGTAATAAGAGGATGAATGTTGTTATGTAACTCTCAGATTAAAGAAAAAGCTGTCTTTCATTCTAAATATGTTAAAATTTCCTGTATTTAAATCTGTCAATCTTATTTCCTCTGATTTATTTCATCACTCTGTATAAGTTTTTTCAGGTTGTAAAGATTAAAAAATGTATATACCTGCTACTGTTTAAAAATAACGAGCTGAAAAAAGGTGATCTCGATGTATTAGTCCCTTCTAGCATGAGTTAGATGTCAGTGCAGCTCTTGATGAGGTCCCGCTGTGGTTTGTGGGTGAGGGGCCAGGTAGGCTGTCCATTGAACATGCCAAGACTGGCCCTTAGCTCTGGGTACTAAGTGAGGGGGGTCCTGGTGTGCTGGGAAAGGGTCTCCTCACACTGGTTTTCTTCTTAGCTGTAGGCAGCCCTGTCCATAGCCTGAAAAAATGCACGGGAGGCTCAGCAGTGTGGTGCCAGGATGTGCAGGCAGCGGCTGACTGTGGGGCCGTGAAGCACTGCCTGCAGACTGTCTGGAGCAAGCCCGTGGTGGTGAGTGCCCTTGGTGCTGTCCTGAGCCTTTGTATTTCCACTCACTGCCAGTTACAAAGCACTTTCTCTTGACTCGTTTTGTTTGCTCCTCACGGTTGCCCTGTGAGGAGGTGGAACCTTCTGGTTCTGCACACTTACTCCTTCCCTGTGCTGCTTATATAGGTTAGGGGCCACAGTCACATCTCTGGTTAGATAAAGTAGTGAAAGGCCAGCATGGTTTTCTGTTGCGTGGTGAGTTATGCCATGCAAATACGGATCTCTCTCCCTTGTGTTCTTTCCTCTTAGAAATCTCTTCCCTGTGACATATGCAAACGAGTCATCACTGAAGCAGCAGACTTGCTGAAGAACAATGATACTGAGGTGAGCTGTCACTGTGTGTGTGTGGCCATGCCCTTCCTTAAAAGAGCTGTCACTTGGGAGGAGGAGGTCCATGGGGAATGGTCTGAACCCACATCAGGAACCCACATCAGGATTAATTTAGGCCCTCTGGTTAGCATGCTGTTCTTGCTCACAGTCTTCCCCCTCCTACCTCCATCCTTTAACAATGTAAAAGCCATTCTTAGGACCTCCATGGTTGGCCTAGGGGTTGGGTCTCAGCACTACCACCAGGAAGGCCCACTGCCAAGGCCTGAGTTTGACCCCCAGCCAGGGAGCTACCCATGGCCAGCTGCTTCCCTCAGCAGTGTATTTCAGTAGATCTGCCTGCTCTGCTCCCCATTCTGTCTCTGGTGACTCCTCCCATCCCCTCTGCCTCTGGCTTGCACCCCAGTCTACACAAAAACTAACAAAATCTTTTTAAAAAATGTAAAGGCTATTCTTAGCCACAGGCTGTGGGTCCCGGCTTACAGACCTGGGGACTATGTGTTACATGCTCAGGATTGACTGGGATTTTCTTTTGTATGCTGTGAACTCTAGGCTTGTTTTGCCCATCTCAACTTGAAATTCTCTGGGCCTGTGGCACTGCATGTGAAAGGCTCTTCATTTTGAATAAAACCTGTGCCTGCTTTTTGCCTCCTTGATCTGGCATCTGTGGCTTCCCACTAGCCCACTGGCTGTCTTCTTTCCCGAGGACTGCTGTTTTCTAGCCTTCACTTTTCTGTGCAGTGTAGGGGGGAGTCTCTTCCTTTCAGCCCTTATGGGAAGAATTTGATCTGACCCTTGATCTGACCCTTGCCTTTGTCCTCTCTAGCAAGAGATCCTCACGAACTTGGAGAAGACCTGTGACTGGCTTTCTAAGCCAGAGCTGTCTGCCAAGTGCAAGGAGATTGTGGATGCCTACCTCCCGGTCATCATGGACATGATTAAAGGAGAAATGGTATATGATGGAAAGCAGGCTCTTCCTTCAGGGCACTCCTGGGGCCCAGGGGAGGGACTTCAGGGGACCAGGTTTGTGGAATTTGGGAAGAAGAGGTACTTAAAAAACTGAGAGGACCACTGGGGCAGCAGTTCCAAGACCAGGACCAAGTTTCTGGTGAGGAAGGCAGGGGTGGCTTCATGCAGCACCTTTTAGGCCTCTCGGGATTGCCGATGCAGCAGGAAGTCATTGGAGGGTTTCAGACTGAGGAGTGACATGATCATAGGTGCCTTCCTATGGGCACTTGTAAGAGGGAAAGCTGCCAGAGTAGCCCGATGTGATGGGGACAGTGGGGATGGACAGATGCACATTTTGTATTCAAGGATGAATGGGCTAGACTTGCTAATACAGAGGACATACAAGAGGGAGAGGAATTAGGGCTTTCTTCTGGGTTTCTGGCCTGACCTCGTAGAAGGATAGATGGTGCTGGAGCCATCTGATGAAATGGAGATGGAGGGGAGACCAAGTTGGGTGGTTTAGTTTGAAATGTCTGAGGTGGGCATGCATCAGTGCCTTAAGGTAAGAGTCAAGGAAAGGACTACCTCAGAGGCACCTCGTGGCCTGTTTTGCTTTCCTTGGGGGAGAGGGCTTCCCATTTCCAGCTGGATATGTTTTCCACCAGAGCCATCCCGAGGAGGTTTGCTGCGCCCTCAATCTCTGCGAGTCTCTTCAGAAGCACCTGGCAGAGCTGAATCACCAGAAACAGCTCGAGTCCAATAAGATCCAGGAAATGAACATGCCTGAAATGATACCTCCCTTCATTGCCAACATCCCCCTCCTCCTCTACCCTCAGAATGGACCCCACAGCAAGCCCCAGCACAAGGTAAGGCAGTGGGCCTGGCCACCGAGGGCCCCATTTGGATTAGAGATGACATGAAGGGGCAGTGTGTATGAGAGGTTCTGAAACAGGCTGTATACATCTTCAGCTGACTCTGCAGTCACACGAGCCAGCCAACCTTCAAGTTGTGGTCCCGTGGAGGATCTGAAGAATGTGGAATATTTAAAATCAAGATCTTACTCCCCCCGCCCACCTACTTCCTATTAATTTTTACTAAAATGAATGCCCAGTTGATTTGAAATCTGTTAATATAAGTGCCCATAAAAATTCATTAGGAACTGTTCAGTAAATTATGACAGCTGTAGCTGTGAGTGTGGAAGGTAATTTTGCAAAGAATTGCTCAGTTACTGTAGGAATATGCAGTGTTTACAGCCCTATTGTTCTCTCGCTGTAGGTTGGTGCGGATGTTTGCCAGGACTGCATTCAGATGGTGACCGATGTCCAGACTGCCGTAAAGACCAACTCTACCTTTGTTGAGGCCTTTGTGGAGCATGTCAGGGAGGAGTGTGACCGCTTGGGGCCTGGCATAGCTGACATGGTGAGCCTTACCTTATATACTCGAGGATGTTCTGGGCCAGGGGACTGCACTAGGGAGACAGGAGTTGGGGAACCAAGAAAACTATACTTTCTTTGGTACCATTTTAAGTTCCAACCTAAGTGCTTTGAGGAAGGTATTATTTAACTCTTTCCCAGAAGGCAGCTGTGATTAGGTGTTGGGTACTTAAATATTTTGTTGGTTAATTGAATTCAAATATGCTACAAAACTCTTTGGGTGAGGGCCTCCCTAGTGGTGCATGGGTTAAAGTCTCAGCGCTATCAAGCTATTGCCAGCCACAGCGGCCTCAGTTTGATCCCCGGCCAGGGAGCTAACCCACATGGCGCAGCAGACCTCTCCTCTCTCTCCTGCTGTTCCTCTCAAAAGTGTGTTTCAGTAGATCTGCCCGTTCTGATCCCCACTCTGTCTCTGGTGAATTCTCACATCCCTGCACCTCTGGCCTACACCCAGTTCTTGTATGCACAAATAATAAATAAATCTTTAAAAAACCAACTCTTTGGATGAGGTAGTGAAAGGAGACTACTTTCGTGAAGATATTTTTCCCCCTCCCTGTTACCATGTTTAAAAGAAACACCTCTGGGGGCCTCCCCGGTGGCGCAGTGGTTGAGCACTGGGTTGCAAAGCTGCCGGCGGCCTCTGCGGCGCCGGTTCGATCCCCGGCTGCTCCCCGGCCACCGGAGGAGGGTCCCACATGGCGCGCAGACCTCTCCTGCCGCCCGCTGCTCCCCTCAGCAGTGTACTTCGGTCCTTCTGCCTGCTCTGCTCCCCGCTCTGGCTCTGGTGAATTCTCTCACCCTTCTGCGCTTCTGACTGTACCCAGTGCATGTATAAACAAAACAAACAAACAAATAAAAAAAAATGCCTCTATAAAAAAAAAAAAAAAACACTTAAAAAAAAAAAAAAAAAGAAACACCTCTGGAACCACTTACCACCCTGTTTTGAAAGCCTGGCTGTTGTGTATACGTAATTTTAAGCCGGCAGTCATTCACGGGAAGCCACTCAAACTGACTTCCAGGAGATTCACCTGGGAAGTTTTTTGTACCTTGGTGAATCTTAGTCCTACAGGTTCAAAAACTCATTTTGTTAACACCCTTAGGAGTTTGATTTCTTGGCTCTATTCATATTAGCCACATTCATGAGATTGTTGTGTAAAACCAAGTGCCAGTTTGTTATTTCACAATAGTAATGTTGGTTTTCTGAGGAGTGTGTCTTGTAGTCACTCTAAATTGCTAATGAGTAGTTGCTGACCTTGGGGCAAGTTTGGGCCATCAAAGGAGATAGAAGGATGTCATCTTTAAGGACCTTTGGGAAATATTATCAAGTACTTTCTGCATATATGTTTTCCTGTATGGTAAAAAATAACCTAATTGCCATTTTTTTCTTATTAAAACTTGCCTCAGAGAAGACACTTAGAAGACTCGACTCTTGGAAACTTACTAGATAGTCACTGTTGGCATTTTTGGAAATGCTGGCATTTCTGCAGCAATTAGTGTTACTAACAGTCTGTTTCTCTCTCCCCAGTGCAAGAACTATATCAACCAGTATTCTCAAATTGCAGTCCAGATGATGATGCATATGGTAGGTGGCAGGGGACTCCTTGTTAGCATTTTTCTTTGGGTCAAACTTCGTGGGTTCCAGGAATTTTGAGAATTACATAGTTTGTGGTGCCCTCCCCCTCCTCCTTTACCTTCCAGTATTGAATTGCCTGGATTGGGCCAGAAAGAGCCCTCTTGGGCTAGCAGACTCTGCTACGAACTCAGTGGCTCCTCCTGCCATCCCCAGGCAGGGGAAAGGCTGAAGCAGTTTGACCCCTGGACTGCCTTGGTGGCTTTTTGGCAGTTTGTTTGCCTGTGCATATGTGAATGGGACATTAGATTTCTAGTAACTGGCTTTCTTTCACCTGTGAAATTCACCCTGCTCTCTAGCTGGGCCAGGCCTGAGAATTGCTGTGTTGTAGCCTGTGTTCTGAGAGGGAAAGAATGTCGCCTCCCAGAATTGGGCCTGAGTTCTGCAGCGGTGTTAGCTGTAGCTGCTACTTGAGCCCTTAGTTGCTCCTGCATTTGCTTCTGATGCATTCAGATGTTAGGAACATTCCTTCATTATTAAAAGTAGAAAATAGGGAGCATGGGAAGGGAGCCAGTTCCATGTGGAAAACTGCTGGATGGAGCAGAGTGGTCTGCAGGAATCCCTACACTGGGGACACACACTGACCTCCTGAGAGCTGATCTGTAGGGCTTGAGGGATGGGTTGCACCATTTTTCTCTGTCATATGACTTTCTGATTACACTGAGATTGACTTAGAGTCCTCGGGAGTTCTCTAACCCAGGGGCCAACAACTGTGGCTCACCACCTGTTTAGGTCTGCAGAGTTGACTGAGACCATATGATCTCAGAACCTAAAAGCTCTAACCACTCGAGGACCCCCTTCAGGCCCAAGAGAGCTTTCTGTTTGGGATCACAACCTACCTTGTCCTAAAAACGGTTCAAAGGCAGCTTCTAAAAACATACAGCTAGAGTAGGGAAAAACAAATGGACAAACCTTTGTTGTTACTTGATTTAGTTAAGTGCTTGCTTATCACTAAATACTCCTCTCATGTTAGCAATTACATTGCATAGACATTTAAAAAATTAAGGATATTTATCAAAACTCACAAGGGTTTTAAAAATATCAGTGGGATCATATTTTATATAGTACTTCAAACTTTGTCGTCCGTACTTTTTGTCTGAAAATTTATTAGTCACCTAAATATTCTTGTACAAATGATTTTTAAGTGGTCCCTTAATACTCACTATGTGGCTAGAACATAATTAATGTAAGCAGTCTCCTCTGGCTGGATGTTTAGGTTGTTTTCTATTTGGGCTTGGTATAATCATGGTGAATATCCCTACAGCCAAATAGATAGACACACACATCCCTGTATTTTTCCTAAGTACAGAGGACTAAAGCTGGGCTTGCTGAATCAGAGGGCAAGGCTTTTGACATGTTGTCAAACTGGCCTTCAGGGTGGGATTTGGCCACCTGGGGAAGATTGCCATCAGGCCTGGTTTGGGATCCCTCACCCCTCTGGGTGTATTATGAATTATAACACACATCCCAAATTTGGGTACCTGTCATCTGTTTTGCTGCTTATTACTAAGCTGAGGGGGAGGCCTTGCAGGCATGTTGGGGATAGGTTCTGAGGATGGGCTTCTCTTCATAGTGTGGTGGTCTCTGGGGACCTGCTGCCCAATGTTGAGCATGATTTGGTATGTCAGGGACATGGGGATGGCACACACAAAGCTTGACAGTAGTTCTGTTCTTCGAGGGCCAGAATAGAATAGCTTCCAGGGCTCCCTTATGCTTCAGTTGTAGGAACAAGGTAGGTCGTTGGTATGTGACTGAAAGGTGTTTCCTCAACTTTTTTTGTGACGTCCTTATACCTGGTTAACTGCTGCATTGTTATTATTTTATTTTTTCTTAACTGTTGTGTCCTTTCCTTTCTCTTATTTTTATCTCCGATTTCCTGTTTTTTTGTTCAACAGCAGGATCAGGTATGTGATGGGGAATTTGCTTGTGGTAGTGGTCTGCTGCTTCTCATAGTTATTTTGCTCATCTGTTTTTATGGCATGGTCAGCTCTGCTAACTATGAGGGATGGCTGAGAAAGGCATGATCTCTCTGTTAATGGGCTGGCATGGGTGCTTCTGCATCTTTACCCAGTGATTCAGCAGTGGAGGGTTTGGAGGCCCCAACCCCTTCCAGGGGGCCCAGGAAATGACACCAGCAGACCTTGCACGTTGGTCAGAATCAGCACACAGCTGGCCACGTGCAGGTCACCAGTGTGATGATGGGAAACCATGGTGACTCTGGTGATGCCTCAGCTTCCTTCATTGTAGGCCTTACTGCCAGTGGGAGCCCTTGTTTCTGTCATGACCCTAGAGAACATTGTTTTTCATAATCCCAGAAATGCTTTTGCTGCATGAACAAACCATTTGCAAACAGTGAGCAGACTGTTCAATCCAGAGAGTTGGAAACAATCTCTTGATTGTGGCTTTTGCCCTTCTGGGTGATGGGGATCTGCAGCCACATCAGATGGCTTGAGAGCCAAGCTAATAGAGTCATGCTAATGGCAGAAGAGGGGAATCAAACACCCAGACCATACTGGCAGAGCCAGTGCCCCTTTGGGACTGTACCTTAACCCTCCTGAGCAATGGCATCTATTTTTAGAAATAGATTTAAAGATTTTTTCAAATGTATTTTGAAGTCTAATGGGACAGAACTGTGGCTGAGATTTGAATTTTTATCTAGGCCTCCTCCAGAAGTTATTAGAAGGAAGTTGATCTGAGACTATAAACAGCCACATACCTCTTCAGTCTTTGTCTTTTTCTAAAAAGCATGTTGTGTATCTTCAGCCCCATTCTGATATTTCCCCCTGTTCTTACATTGTGCCAAAGACAGAATTTTTGGGATAGACTTCATTTAAACTCCCCAACCTTGTTTAATTCTAGCGCCTTCTTGATCTTAAAACAAAATGAGCCCCCACCATGGTCTAGCCTCATTCTCTTCCTTTAACAGGTCTCATTTTTAGTAGTCCTGTTCCCGCTGCTTGGTGGTGGGAGGCAAGTGCCACCAGGCCAGAGCTAGTTGTATCTGGTTTACAAAGTATATGAAATAGGTATACTTTCCTGATCCTGTTTCCAAACTCTCTAGTTCTCAGTGGTTTGGTGTCTGGATGGGAAGGGGGGGTCAGTCTGAAGGCCTTGTGACTTGAAATGATTCATCGGGGCATTGGGTTTTCATGTGTACTGTGCTTGTGTAATTGTGAACGCAGAATGTGGTTTTTTAAAGCTCACATTTCTCCTTAGTGCATCATTTTAAGATGCCACTAAAAGATCCTGTGTCATTCTGTTTCCAGTATATTTAGCTTTCTGTTTATAATTCCTCCTTTAGAAAGAACATATGGTTTACTTCTACAGAGAGTGAACCAGTTCAATGGAAAAACAGGTTCTAGAGCAGACCGGGTGTCCTTGGAGATGTTTTGGTGCCTGTTAAGGTGCCAGGAGTGTCACTTCCCTGTGGTGCCCCCTGGTGGGAACAGAGAGCCTTCCCCTGCTTCCCCCGCCAGAGCTGTGTAATGATGTATCTGCTCTGCTGTTGGACACAGACCCTTTAGATTTCATGTGGAGCCTTTGCCTATCTGGGGGGTAGTCAGTTTTGACACTAGGATCAAGGTGCCCCCTGCCCCAGCACCCCAGCCTGTGTGTACAGAGTGGGACCAAGCAGAGGAGGCACAGGCCTGCATCTGACTGCTTTTTCTCTGCTCTCCTCAGCAACCCAAGGAGATTTGTGCATTGGTTGGGTTCTGTGATGAGGTGAAGAAGATGCCCATGCAGACTCTGATCCCTGCCAAAACAGCCTCGGAGAATGTCATCCCTGCCCTGGAACTGGTGGAGCCAATTAAGGTACCTGATGTCATTGTTGTGAATAGTCAGGGCTGTGTGTTGCCTGTCACTCCCTGCTGTGTCATATCTTGTGAGGCACACACTTCTCGTTCCCCACTCAGCTCCTAAAGGTATTTGAGTTTGAGACCATTATTTGATGGTGGTATCCCGTTTACTAATGCAGCAGCTTTCTTCTCCCATCACCTTCTATTACCTTGGTTAGAAATTCCAGTGCTCACTGGACCAAGCTTGCACTTTTAGTGCATTCAGAATCTTTTTTTACTGTGCCTGGCTCAAACCTAATCTTTTGCACTGTGATTTCTGTGGCCTTCCCTGCCATAGCATAAACTTGAAGCCTCTGTGGGGGGTGCAGCCTCTGTACACACTGATGTCTGTTTTGTATCCCAGCTGACTTGATTTGGTCAAGATGCTCCCTCCAGTGTATAGTTAACACTTCTTATGGGTCAAGCAGTGTTTCAGAGATTTAGGCCTAAGTCAGTTCACCTACAGTGGTGGACAAAATTGTCCTTGTGTTCATGGGGCTTGCAGGCTTGTTCTTAAGGGTGATAGGTGATGTTTTATCACATGACACATATGCATGTACTTGTTCCAGAATTTCCCATGTCCCTTGACCAGTAGCCATCTCTTTGCTGACTTTACATGGCACATGCACGGTATGACCCATAGGAAGGTTTGACATTGCTCTCTGCTTCCCCTCCATCTCCAGTGGAAATGCTAGTCGGCCCACTTAACATCTGGTGCAGTCAAAGGCAGATGTTAAGTGTGATGCTACCTTGCTGACTGAATGAATGGGCAGTACAAATGAAGGAGAGTGTAGCTTGCATTCTAGCTACATAGTGACCATTAAATTTAATAAAACTAAGCAAAAGTTCAGTTCCTTGGTCACACTAGCCACATCTGAAGTGCTCAATAAGACACATGTGGCTATGGTCATTATAGTAGACACCAGACATTCACTACATTTTTACAGAAAGTTCTTTTCAGTGGTATCACTTTATTAGAGGTAGGCTCTAGAAAAGCAGTCTGAGGTACTAATTAATGAGGCTTGAAACTGCAGAGCAGACATGAAATGTGTTTAAACTCTGTAGTAGACAGGTAGTGAATTTCCTGTTCATTCCTCCATCCACCTCCCTAAAATGAACACTGAATGGTGATATAAACATCATCTGGACAGTGTTCTTATTTATTTTGAGGCAGGGGGACTCTTTCACTGCTTCTATCTCCTGAAGTATGAATTTCTGATTTTTGGAGGGAGCGTGGTAGTAAAAATTTGGGGAAACGAAAGGGTCTCCCACTGTAAAAAACAAATAATGGACTCAGCGTTGGCCTTGCTTGGAGAGGAAGCCACATGTCATTTTGGATTTAGTAGGAAGTGGCCCTTTGTGTGACACTGACCTGTCTGGCCTCTGTAGAGGAGCTGGACAGGGCTCAAGGGCTCCATATTAAAATGTTCTTTCCACCTTTTTAACAGAAGGATCTTGTGCAGTCAAAGGCAGATGTTAAGTGTGAAATGTGTGTGTACTTGGTGAAGGAGGTGGTCAAGCAGATTGACAACAATAAGACTGAGGTATGTGGATTTCGGGGAATGCTTCCCCCCCCCCCCCAGGGAGGGGCTCTCCTGTCCCATGAACCCAAACCCAGCCCAAGTGGGCTTGGCCCTTACTGTGTTGGACACGAGCCTGGAACTTGTATAACCATGTTTTTACAAGGCTTTTCGTGCCAGTGGAACCCTCTGGTTGGGGTTTGTGGAAGTCACTGCACTTTGCTTTGTAGTCCCTGTCTCTTGTGGGAGAAACAGCATCTTGCTGTTGACCGATTCCTGGTCATGGTGATATTTTCAGAATCTCTCTTACCCCTGCCCAGCCTCCCATCTTCTCACAGGATTCTCTTGTGTTTCAGGAAGAACTCCTTAGCATTTTGGATAAAATGTGCTCCAAATTGCCCATATCGGTTGCTGAGGAGTGCCAGGAGGTGGTGGACACTTACGGCACTTCCATCCTGAAGATGCTGGAGGCAGAGGCCTCGATGGTGTGTAGCCTTCTCCATGTCTGCCCCTCCCGGGAGCTGCCTGCACTGACTGGTGAGCCCAGGGCCAGGGCTGGCTGACCCTCTTTGGATTTGGAAGGGTGTTAAGCCTGTGTGCTTGCTCTCTTGTGTAGTACGAGTGGTGCAGAAGAAGAATGGTGGCAATGGTGGCTTCTGTGAGGTGTGTAAGAAGCTGGTTGGCTATTTGGAGCATAACCTAGAAAAAAACAGCACAAAGCAGCAGATCCTGGATGCTCTGGAGAAAGGCTGCAGCTTCCTTCCTGACCCATACCAGAAGCAGGTATGCCTCTGGTTGCTCTTGGACACGTAAAGGCTGCTTTTGTTGTGCCTTCAGTTGACATTTCAAGGGAAGACCAACTATTTTTGCCTCCAGGTCTGGAGCTCAGTGAGATTTTCTTAGAATTGGTCTGTTGGCTCAAGTGGAGTCACTGAGGGAAATAACCTGAGTGGGTATGTGTGTGTTGGGGAGAGGGGTCCCCCTCTCACTGTGTGAGGAACATGTCCAGTGTCCCTCCAGTCCTTTTCGATCCCCACTTTGCTTGGGCACCCCCTAGACCTAGACCCCTGTTTCTTAACAGTGTGATCAGTTTGTGACTGAGTACGAGCCTGTGCTGATAGAAGTTCTGGTGGAGGTGATGGACCCATCCTACGTGTGCCTGGTAAGCTCTTCCGGGTAGTAGATTCTCGGGTGGTGGATCCTGAAAGGGTCTGAGACTTTTGGCCATGGGGAAAGTTTCTGGGGCTGGAGTATGGGATAGCCAAGAAGATAGCACATAAGCAATACTGTGGTTTTTTAAAATACACATTAGAGCTCTGCTTGCAGAAGCTAATAATATTTTAAACAGGATCGAGCCCATCTAACACCTCCCCCTCACCTCTGTTTTCACCATACAGAAAATTGGAGCCTGCCCCTCAACTCAAAGGCCTCTCTTGGGAACTGAGAAGTGTGTCTGGGGCCCAAGCTACTGGTGCCAGAACATGGAGTCAGCAACCCAGTGCAATGTGAGTAGCTCAAGTGAGACTCCTGCTTTAATAGAAGCCTCAGTGATTTGCTCGCTCCACTATGTCAGGGGAAGACCTGAGGTGCAGAGAGGCCATTAGCCCTGCCTGTGCTGGGTGGCCACAAGTAAACCTAATTGCCTCCTTGTCCTTGAGGAGTGAAGGCTGGGGGGTAGATGTTTTGTAGTGTTGTTCTGCTTCCGTCCTCATTTGCCTTGTTATGGGGTCAGATTCGCATAAGGTCACCCCAGGGATTGCACAAGGCCCATTGGACTCATTATCCCAGTTCTTGCTCATGTTCTCTTCCCCTTCGGGTCACTTTTGCCCTGACTGGAGCGCAGCCAGAATCTTCACCCAAGGCCTAGCAGAGGTCTTGAGTGGCCCGTCCCCGGGGTAACATGGTACTAATCTGACTGGGTACTTACTGGTTGGGTGACCCTTACTGCTTTCCTGGGATGGGATATTTGGACTAACCTCTGTTACTTAATGTTCCTTTGTGCAACTTTTTCTTCCTCATGGGCTCTCCTTGAGGCCAGCGGGGCCTGTTGGTATTGGGGAGGTTGCGTCATCTTGGGTTGCTGAGGAGAGGAATAGTAAGGCACTGTGCCATTACCCCACTATTGGCTGCTAAAATTGGTTCCTCCCACCCATCTGGGTAAATTCTCAAGCCCGAGCTAGTGTGTACCTGACTGCTGGGTGAAGGAATTTTTTGCCTTCTGGGCGGCTTAATTGCTGAACGCTGGGGCTCTGGGCCCTACATGCATGGGTGCTTACCTGTAAACCACTAAAAAAGGTTTTGCCTCTACTGCTCTGAACTCTTGCCTAATGCCACATGCTGCCCAGTTTTAAGTCAGATAGGGTTGCTAGGTCTGCAGCTTCCAGTACCATCAAGATAATGTGTTCCATTTTGGGGTGATGTCTGATATACTTAATGGGTTTGAAATGGCATTTGTCATGTGAAAGTCTAAGCCTGGTTTTCTTTCTCCTGCCAGGCTGTCGAGCATTGCAAACGCCATGTGTGGAACTAGAAGGAATGTTCCATCTTGGAGAACCTGCACCATCTTTTCCTACTTGTGTGTCTAAAGGAACAGTCACACAGATCTATTGACTTTGTTATAAAATAGGACCCCTTTACCTTCATTTCTCATCTCCCTTATGGTAGCATTGCTGTCAGTGTGGGAGGCGCCTGGCCTGCCATTGACATAGCTGCTTCAGTGTCCCCTTTTCTCTCTGCTAGATGGATGGTGACCTATTGTGCACTGAGGTCTTTCAGCCTGCTCTAGCGTGGTGTCTACCTGGAGAGTGGGCTCTAGTTGCTGGCACCACCCAGAGCTTCTTGACAGAAAGTGTCCATCATCTTTGCTGGGGCCTGCTCTGAGTCCTGACACAGGCGTGGGCTTCTGAGACCTCCGCTAAGGAGGGCCCCTCCCCTTCCTGGGCGTGTTGGTTGCTATACAAAGAAGCAAAACAAAGGTGGTTTTATATGAAAGACCAGAAACTTAAAATAATTAGACTTTTAAACAATATAGTTCCTACTATAATAGAAATTTTGGAAGTGGCTGCTCAGCAGACCTGGGTAGGGTTAGCGTTTGCTGTCCTAGGCCAACCCTTTCAGCTTTCCTGGGTCTTTCCTTGGTGATGCCTTGTTTGGGCTTCTGTGGGTTTGGATGGGAGGGGAAAATCTACCTGAATGTAACCTGCTCACTCTTTGTGGAGGTCCTGGCTTTTGTGTGTGAGTATGTAGACAGTGGTGACCACCTACTGCTTGCTCTAGTGGCTGCCTCTGCCCTGCCACCCAGGGCCCACCGTTGCTCCGGGCAGTCGTGACCACCTAACTCCTCCCCCTTTCGTGGATGCTCTTTTTGACTTTGCCTTTCAAATAAATGTGGATGAAAGCTCCTAAGCCTCTGGCTAACTGGTAGAGGGTCTGCTGTCTGGGGGCCATTGCTGTTGCCCTGCCTCCTCTCCTGTTGCACCTTCTGTTTCACTTCTGGTTGCTGGGGGACAGCAAGCAAAGCCAGTAAGATGTGCAGTTGCTATTAAATGGACTTAATTTTGTTTTGCACTAAAGTTTGTGATTTAACAATAAAGTTGTGTCAACGAGACCTGTGCCTTTGTGGTACCTCAGCCGGAAGGATTTGGTTTTTGACTACCTTCAAGGCCATGGATCCTTAAGTGCCCAGTAAGTACCGAGTAGTTCCATGGCGACAAGAAAGTGAGTAAAATAACCCACCTGGTTCTGCCTAAGGGAGCCAGGACCAGTAGTGGGTCAACAGAGTGGCTGAAAGCGGGGTCCAGATCTGCCCTGCCCTTCAGTGCCATTCCCTTCCCCCCACCCCCAACCACACGAGTAGTTTACCAGAGCCAGAGTGCATGCCGGTTCCTTGTGAATTGCTTTTCTTTTTAAAATTCAGACCATTCCAGAAACGTTCAGTGAGTACCGGTTAAACAAAACCAAGGGGAAAACATTGCGGGAACAGCTTAATTTAAAAAAAAAAGAAAAGGGGGGAAACATACACCAACACTCTACATTCCAAACCCAAGGGAATACCAGTCATTTCTCTTTAGGAGCCGGGCACATTTGGGAAGCCAGTGAAATGGAGAAAATGCTGTTTGCTGACATTGACCATGTCCATGTGGGGAGGTGGGGATCACTCACTGCCCCTACCTGGATGTCCAGCCAGGGTTGCGGCAGAAATGCAGTGGGACTTGAACTGAAGTCAGGTGTCAAGGCCAGGCAGGGGACGCCAGCTCTAGGCCTCTCTCCCCGATGTTGAGTTGGACTCCTGCGCTGTTTAAGGGAAGGGGAGGGGGTAGGGAGGGGAAGAGGTCTTGCTTGGCCTCTTTCACCTCAGCCTGGGCTGAGCTGGTCCTCAGATTCTGGTCCCAGGTGACCCTTCTTACCTTGTCCTTAGACACTTAACATTTTTGTTTGCTTTTTTAAAAAAATAACAAATTTTATGAAGATAGAGATCAGATGCTGAATGAGCGTCTGGCGAAGTGGATCTGTGCAGCTGATGTGGGCCTCAGGCCAGGCTAAGGCGGTGCAACCAAAGCTGTCCTGAGGCGGGGACCATACCCCGAGGCCCTGCCCCTGCCCCTGTTCTTGCCCTGGGAGGGGGCGGGGGACAGGCTCTCACTCTTATTGAGGCTCCCAACTGGTCATAGCTCCGTGATCTCCAGCGGGCTCTCCATGATCACGTCTCGAAGCTTGTGCAGGGGCGTGGATTTGGCGGACTCTGTGCGGGCATTGCGCTCGAAGGCACTGGCCTCTGCTGCAGTCAGTGTCTCCAGGGAGCGACCCAGGCCCTTCTGGTCATCCTCGGGTAAGCTGTTGAGGTCAGTGGCTAACAGCGTGCCTGTGCTGCCGTGCACCATGTGGATCCCGTCGGGCCCCTTGAGCTCCGTCGGCAGCTTGTGGTGGAAGTGCAGGCTGCCCTGGCCTGGGCTGCGCTCCCCTGGCTCCTCCTCCAGCTCTGTCTGGATCAGCTGCAAGAGGCCAGGACCACCCCTTGGTCAGGGACCCCCATATGCTCAGGGCCATGCCCTAGGGCTTAACAGGTAAATGGCCCCAGCTTGGTTCTTCCTTACTTACTGCACAAGAAACTCTGGGCTCCTGCTGGGGCAGGCCTGTCCAGCCTCTGACATTGTTAGCGCATGACTACTTAGCTGTGTTCTTGGGAGAATGGGCTTCCTACAAGAATCTTTCTCATTTTGTACATTCCCTGTGAATACACAGGCTCAACTCTACGTCCGACCAGGTAGAGAGTGTCCGCAGGTAGGTAAAGCAGAGCCTCACGACTGGTGCTCATTCCTGTGTGAACAGTCTCTTCCAGTTGGAAATGGGGGCCCTGCTGGAAATCTGGGTTCTTAGGTAAAGTCTGACTTTGTAAAGGGTTGACAGAATCACTAGCAAATCTGTAGACATGCTTGACCCTGGCGGCCATTCCTGCAAAGGTACCTTCTTTGGGCTTCTCGAATCTGAGAAATGCTGCCCTGCAGCCCACCCTTTCTCCAGGAAAACCCACTGCAGAGCCCAGAAAGCAGCATACCTTCTGACTTCCTGGAACCCTCCACCCAATTGCTGTCTGTGACCCTGGCTGCTGAGCTTCAGAGACACTGAGGGCAGGGGTGACAGGAAAGTGAGAAAGCGAACACCCCCAGGACTGGGGCACAGCACACAGCTCCCTGGCCCACCCAGCTACCTCAGAGATGGAGGAGTGGCAGGAGGAGGCTCTTTGCACCATCCGTTGTGCAAAGAGCTTTTTGAGCCGCAGGTAATCCTCTAAGACCACTTTCAGCAGCGAGCCCTGGTGGAGGGAGAGGGTCAACCCCTCACCTAAACCCTCCCCCACCAGCCCCACCCCTCTTTCCTTCCCTAACTGGGGTGGGCAGTGATGGAAGGTGACTAGGGATGCTCAGGCCTCTCATCCTGAAGGATCGGGAGCAGAGCCTGGTGACACTGGCCAGCCAGAATCTGAGGAGCCCTGACCTGGAAGTCACTATAGGCTGATGCAACTCTTTTATCAGTTCCTAAGCCCAGGCCCCTCTTTCTGCTCTGGTGGTGTTGCCACAGTGGAGGGCATGTCTAGCCGTCCTGGTGGAGAAAGCTGTTTTCCAGCACCCTCCCTCCTCCCTGTATCCTTTGGAGTGGGTGCAAGATCAGCTAGGGGCTTGGGTGCAGATGTGCACGTGTGTGTGTGTGTGTGTGTGTGTGTGTGTGTTGGGGTAGGATCCTTCAGGTAGGGCTCACCTTAATGGGCCCTTCCCGAATGATCTGGCCCAGCTTGGCAATGTTGTCGTACTCCTGGATGGCTGCCCGCAAGTAACGGTCATCATCAGGCTTGACTGCTGCTGGTTCGCGCCCAAAAGTTCCCTGGGGAGAGAGGGGACGTTCATTGGAGCAGCGGTAGACAACAGGTGCACACACAGGGTAGGGATCATTTCCTGGAGAATGCAGCTCCCTGGCTAGCAGTGGTGAAGACCTGACCTTCCCTCCTCCCCTCCATCCATCCTGCATCATTGCCCGCCCCCTGCCCCAGGCTCACATGGGTTCGGGTGGGGCTGTTCCACAGGTCAGCGATCTCACTCAGGTTCTCTGGCAGGTCATCCTCATGCTCTGCCTGGGCCGCCAGCTCCAGGTTCCGGCAGAAAGGGTCCAGCCACACGGGGTTGGCCCTGTGGGTGAGGAGTGGGGTGGAGTAAGGAAGGATAGCTTGAATGGGTGGCTACCCTTCCTGCCTCACCCCAACCTCTGCTCATTTCTCTGGAAACCATATTGCTGGGGATTCAGGGCCATGAGAATTGGGTCCCTTGTCCATGGCACCTCTGGGTGCTTCCTCCTACCCTGGGATCCTGCTAGGACATGTCAATCCAGGTCAGCCTGGTGTAGAAACCTTACTCTGCATAACTCTGTACCTCATGTCCAAAGTCTGTCCCAGTCGGGTGTGGACCCTGCAGGACAGTTTCTGAGGTTGGAGGAGGGGTGACCAGACCACCAGAGGGCGCACACACCCCAGGTTTCAGGCACTCTTTCCCTTCTGCACTGGTAAGGACTTCTCTTGGCAGCAAGGAATGCTCCACCCCACCCGGGCCCTTGGCAGGCTACACTCCACTCACCCATCAAAGGAATACTTATTGGTGTTGGGCATGTCCATGATGTCGATGAAGCCTCGATTCCCTGCAGAGGGGAGGGTTGGCATGTGGAGGGCAGGGGTTTACTTGCTGCAGTTGGGGGAGCCAGCCCACAGCCTCAGCCAGACTTGCGAAGCCTGGGCAGGCCCTCTAGGCCCCCAGGATTCCCTCCTGCCCTCTCACCTCCAGAACCATCATAGTCCTTGCTCACCTGCTGAGCCAGCCACAATGGCTTTGAGCTTCCTCTTGTGTCTGGAGAGAGGAGGAGAGGGTCTGGTGAGGGAGGCTGGGACTGGGCTGGCATCTCAGGACCTACAGGCCCTGCTTGCCACTGTGTTACAGGAACGGGGGTGGTTGGCTTATATCAGGGCAGGGTGGGTAGAGGTCACTCACACAGTCCTGTAGTACCAGTTCATGAGGATGAAGAGCATGGCAGCCAGGAAGAGGAGAATGGCCAAGACAATGATCGCCATCTGAGGGAGCAGGGTCAGGCATGAGTAGGCACGGTGCCTGGGGCAGGAAAGGGGCTGTAGGAGGGGGTGCCACCAGAGGTACCTGCAGGGCAGACATGTCATCAGGTAGCCGGACCGAGATGGCAGGCTGCACGTCCAGGACATTGTAGTTCCGGAAAAGATTCCGCAGCTGTTCCTTGTTCTCGTCGATCATCTGGATCACCCTGGGTGAGGGGCAGGGCCAGAGCTGCTGTCCTCAGCCATTCTAAGAGCTTACCCCACTCAGGAGGGTCTGCCCAGTTCCTGCCTCAACCCCAGATTTCACCCTCGCACCAAGCCTTGCAAGATTCAAGTCCACCCAGCGAGGGTAGCACTGTGTCTTAGAGGGCTCATCATCCCTTCATATAGGAATCCTATTTGACCCTCAAGGTGTAATACTGCCACATTCTAGATGGGGAGAGTAAGCCTCAGGTTGGAGCTCTGCTCCTGCCTCCATGTGTTCTCTCTGGAGGGGAGTGCCACACTGATGCTGTCTCTGCCTCCTTTGGTGGGTCCCCTCCCAGACGCCAGGACAGGGAGGCAGACCAGTCTCAATACAGGCCTCACCCACCGGTCCACGTCCAGGATGCGGTTGGTATCGCGGTTCACCACATGGATGAGCAGTTCCGTCTGTGCGAAGTTCACCCGACCCTTCTTGTCCACGTGGAACTGGGAGAGAAGAGGCATCATGAGGAGGGGACAGGAGCAAAGGGTTGGATGAGGCGGTCAGGCCTTCCCTAGGGGCCCTTCCTGCCCTACCCTACTAGTACAATGACTACTGAATGCTCACTGAGGATCGAGCACGATGCCCATTACTTCATCAGCCCTGGGCCAGAAACTATTATTAATCCACTTCAGAGCTGAGGAAACCAAGGACAGAAGACCTAGAAGGTCTTAACCAAGTCCCTGGAGCTAGGACATGGCTAGGGGCATATGCCCCTTTTATGTTCCTGTGCTCTCTGCACTGCCCTTTCCCGCTTTGGCCCAGTATCCCTTCTCC